ACCGACTATACATGTGCTTAAATTTATTTTTATAGTATTTCAAGAATAATATTCTGATGAATATCCAAATCAAGGGCAATCTCTTAATTGGGTTTGTTTATGTTCATCTTTTGGGTATTTCTAACAATTTCTGGTTCAGCTTTTTCTTCTCCGAAGCTGATGAAAAGGGGAACACTGAATTTTAGTGTGAAGATTACATCACATGCTTTCTTCGATCAACATCAACATCAGCCTCTTCTCCCTCGAAAGAGGCAATTATATATTCATATGCTCTGATCTAACTTCAAATTTTCATTAGTTTTCCTAAGCCTCAAGAGGTTTTGAAATAATTAATAAATAAATAAATAAAAGGAAGAGAAAAGAAGAAATCTGACCCTTTTCTTGAAAGATCTTAATCTGCCGCATACTACTGTTACATCCTGTCTGCACATCACTGCTATTATGGAAACAGCACAAGTCTAGATTCCTGTCATGAGGACTTTTTTCTTTTAAGTTTAAATTTTTTTCCTAAAAGATTTCTGTTTAACAGTCTTATTTTGATTTTTTTTTTTTCTATGGAAAAGGAATGAATAATTCAAAAAATACGTTTGCCATGCACAAGGCATGCCCGCATGCCAATCTAAAATGCATTAATACTTTAAAATGCTAATTAATAAAAATGATATATTTGTTGGGTTTATTGATAGAATATGAATTTTTTTCAGGGATCAGGTTTAATTTTTGATAATTTTAAATATAAAAAATATTAATTAATAAAAATTGTTAACTTCCATTTCCACTTTGATAAAATATAGTTTTATGACATTACATATACTGGCACGCAGCGTACTAAAGGTTTAATTTGTTTCTGGTTTTTCCTCTTTTCTGTTTAGTTTCCTTTGGAAAATAAAATCTGTTCAACCTACATATAATTAATAATTGTATTTCAAATTATATTTTGTATACATTATATATTATGTTCAACCTAACAATTGTATCCATCTAATTATTACTGTAAGTTAAACTTTTTCTTTATATAAATTTTCATGTGCGTGATGTCCCCTCCGTCAAAAAAGCGACTGCATATTGCTTTAGCAGCCTTTTATTTATAAGTGTCAACTTTCAATGGATTTTGACAGGGTTAGTTTCTTGTGTTTTGATCCCACAATATTACAGCTTAAAATGTTAAATGCAGGGCAAGTGAACCAAACGCATTTATCATATTTTATAGAAAATATGCCTTGATAATCTTGTAAGAAAAATCCTATTAGTAAAAAGTAATATGAGAACAAAAGTCCATTAGAGTACTTCCAGTTGTCAAAAAGCTAAAAAGTGATCACCGATTACTTCTTCCATTAATATAGTGTATTTTTCAGGCTCTTCGTCAATTAATCAACCTCCAAAGCGAACCAATTTTGAGGATGGTCCATACAAATGCATTGGAGATCTACTATTTTACTAATTTCACTTTTTAGGGGTCAAGTGTTGTAAATAGATTATTAAATTGAATATTCAAATACAACATTTATTTTTTTTTTACTGCATGTGTATATATATCTTGAAATTCAATGAACTTCTTTATGTACCACAAAAATGAAAAATTACATACACGACTGACGGTTTCTTTTTGTTACATCAATGAAGGGTGAGTTTTAACAACATAAAAATTTGCTGTTAAATGTGAAAAACCAAAAGAAATTAGAGATCTGCATTTATATAAAGTGTTATTGATTTAATTAAATAAATAAATGTAACAGCACACTGGGAATGATACTCTAAATTTTGAATAGTTCTTTTTTGGCGAAAGGGTTAAAAGAGTTTTTGAATTAAAATTTAATAATCATCCAACTTCCTTTTTTCTTAATCGATTGAATTTTCAAATATTTATAATTGTTTCCGTCTAATCGATGGCTTAATTAAATGAAAAAAATGTTTAAAGGTTTAATTTGATGAAAACAAATATTTAAATGTTCAATTGGTTTGAAATAGAATATTTAGGATTTGATTTATTGTAATAAAATACCATAGATTTAAATTATTATTGAAATTTTGTTTGAAAGTTATTTTAAACTTTATGCCTTTTTTAATTTAAAAAATAGAAAAATCTAAAATTCAGTTTTTTAAGTAAAATATAGATACATTAATTATTATTGAATACAATAGTCCAGTGAAGGTTGGAACTAAACAAATATGTTATTTAAAAATAAATATACAATATAAAGTTTAATTTAGTTAATTTATAAAATTATTTTTAAGATATGACATCTAATAAATTTAAGATTTAAATTTTAATACTTATAATTTTTTTATTTTTATATTATAGTTTTTTTTATAACAAAATTAATGATAGAAATAAAAAACCGAAAGTATCTTGATAGGATTGGATTGTAGTGTGAACACTATGTGGTAGTTTGGAACTTTGGGTAGCTTTTGCCTACAACCAAGTAATCAGCAAATTTATGATCTTGGTTGGATGAATTTAAATGCCGCTGCTGGCTACTCACAAGCTATTTGGAAAAGTAAGGCAGGGTTGAAAGTTGCACTGAGATGTATATCTTAATTATTTTGGCAATTAAATCAAATTGGAAAGTGAGGGGCATAGAGAATGTGGGCCAAATTTCCATTTAATTTGTTGCAATGGTGGGTGAGTCCAAGAATGGCAGCCATCATTGCCAGAGCCCCTAAAATGAGAATTGCTAGAGGGACGCTTGGAAAGCCAAACAAAGAAAAATGAATTTTAAAAAGAAGAAGAAATAAAAGAAAAATGAATTTTATGATTATGATTTATGAGTGCGGTTTAAAGGTTATGCAAATGGCTTACATCATATATTGGCTCAATCCAACAGTCTCCATTCACCTTTATAATTCGTACGATCTTATTAGCAATATAGCAACATATAAATGACTTGTGCAAAAAAAAAGAAGAAAAAGCATATAAATGAGAAGAATTAAAAAATATATATTTTTCAAGGAGTTTTATTGTAGTGATCTTGTAATGTAAAAACTTAAAATTTTAATTTAATTTTCAAGAGATTTTATTGATTTTGTATTGCACTTACACACTTATTTTAAAGTGTGTAGACATACATCAGGGTTTTTATATGTTAAAAAACGTTTCGTTAATTTTTATTTGAAAATTTTATTTAATTAGATTTCACCTCGTATTTAAGTCATTTCAATAATTGAAAAAAATACATATTAAATATGTCTAGCTTATTAAAGATATTTTCTGTCTACATAATAAGAAGAAGGATAACAATATTCAAACATTCTCCTTACATATTTTCTAAAAAATTTTTTAACCATTTGATCAAGAAACCGAAAATTTTACCTTAGTGAAAAATTTCCTATCCATACATAAACTATATTTAACTCATTTAAAAATTAAAGATCTTCAAATATTTGTATTCCTTCCACATTACTTATATTTAGATCTGTCCATTAGAGAGGCTAGCGTCCTCGTTTGCAAGTTAAGCCCCAAAAACAACTTTTCGAACTTAAGTCTGGCCAAACCCGACCTAGGATGTTATTTTATTAATAACAATTATTTTTTTATTCAATTTTAATTTTTAAAAATTTTAAAAATATTAGTATTTTAATATTTAAAAAACTCGTTACTCTTAAGCGCCCAAAGGGCTAGGCCGAGCTGGGTATTGGATAGGGTTTTTGAAAGGTCAACCGAGTCACATTCGGCTCGGTCTTAGTCATGGATACTTCTGTTTGTATTTGTATCTCTATATTTTATAGATAAGTTAAACAAAAAAAAAAAAAGGAAAATTATCATTAAAAATTTTTATTGTGGATAATTGTCTATTTATCAATCAAGTGATATTCTACGATTCATGTAACCTATATAATTTTATGAATAAGTAACGCCAAATCAAGTAAACGCGCAACTCAATTCATGTTTTAAATAAGTTTGTGTTAATTACTTATTTGACTTCATTTAAAAAAAAATTTCAATTTTAAATCATATGAAAAAGTAATAAATTAGTATACTACAATTTATAATTTATAACTTATTTAAATACATGTGCTAAACTTAAGATCATATTTTTTTATATTTTATTAAAAAATTTTTACTTTAATAAAAAATATAAAGGTTAACGAGAAAGTAGATAAATAAAAATTAATTAATATTTAATATATTAAGAAAATTATCACTTAGCAAAAGTTTACTTCAATAAGGACATCAATGTTAATAAATATGTAGTATAAAAATTAGTCAATATTTTAATTTAATAAAAAATATTAATTAAAAATAAAATAGTTAATTAAATAAATTATCAAAAGTATATATATAGTTCATTAATATTTGTATTTTTGGAATTTATGCTTTTATTTATATATATATATATATATGTATGTATGGACAGTACTACACATACAAACATATTACACAAAAATAATTCACTCACCTATTTTTAAGTTTTATCCTAAAGATTCAAGTGAAAAGTATTGAAATCTATATGAGCTATAATAGTATTTTGAAAATTAAATTTTATTTATGTGAAATGAATGTATTAAATAACTATATATAGATAGACATAGATTGTTTGAAGCTATGTTTTTCTAATTAACTCTTTGACACTTCTCTATCATTTGGAGCAAAATACAGCAATACCAATTCCGTAGCAGCAATTAGCAAACAAATCAAAGTTGAGCCCCTAAACACAAGCACGAAGTCACAAACCAGACATGCATGCCTGCGGAGGCAACTGTAATGAAATGAAATCAGCATGCAAATGCATTTGCATGGGTGTCTGCATAGGCATGCAGTAGCAGTGCACATAACCAAGTGCGCGTGCCAACACATCAGCCCCCCTTCCCCAACACATTAAGAAATAAGAAATTCGCTCACTCTTAGAAAACGACAGCCTTAGAAAGTTGTTTCTTCTTAACAGTAAAAAAAAAAAAATTCTCATTAGTTACAATCATAAACTAAAACCACAGATAGTGATGATTTCTCCTATTTACGTTGACTGTCTATGAATTGACCAACCAACCTGCAACCCTCCATCTCAGGCACTTGTTGATTACTGTAGTGTTGCAACAGCTGATCACTTTTTTTTTTCGTGGTTTAAAATTATCCAAATCCTATGAAATTAATGTTAATAAATAATGTTAGCAAAATAATTATAGGAAAATCGAAGTGGGTAAACTTTAGCATGCTAAATTATGATGGCTTATTTGGGAGAGTAATAAAAACAGAGTAGCTGACACAAAGAACATCTAGGGAAGTGAGAAAGAGAAGAGACTAAAGCAAAGAACTTTGGAAACCCAGGCCAGAATCAAGTGTAATTCCTATCTGTCCTCACAAACCAAAGTAAAGAATAACAGAAATCAGTACCATTTTCCCTATAAAATTAACACAAAAGCTAAAGTTTCAGTCCTTGTATTGGAGACTGGAAACACAGCCTTTCACCCCTCTCTCTCTCTCTCTCTCTCATATTCTTCCTCCAAAATATTTATATCTTAAGCATGATTTCATCACTACTTAGTATTTATATCACCACACCACATGGGCAAAACTTTAAGAAAACTCAAACCCATTTTTGTGTTTTTCTAGTCAGGCAAATGCTTGGAAGTTCAAGCCAAGGTGTCAGAGCATAAAAACCAAGACGTTATAAGCTGTGAGAGAAGAAGGAAGAAGAAGAAGAAGAAAAGAGCAAGTTTTTTATTATTATTTTTTGTCATTGTAGGGTGTTTTTCAAGAGCTTTGGAAATGGTGAGACAGTGAAATACTCAAGAAAGTTTTCTTAGAATGGTGATTTTGTGTTGGATGGATTTGGTGGGAGCTTCATTTCTAAAGGAAAAAACTAGGAATAGATGGTGCTATTTTGATCACAGAAGAAGACAACACCGATGTACACAAACGGAAACCAATATAGGGCAAGAAACAACAGGAAGAAATTTCACAAACATGGCTTCTTGCTGTTGTAAGACCTCACCAATCATTCCCATTTTTGTATTCTTTCTTCTTGTTTCTTCTTCAATTTGTCCTGTCTATTCGTCGGAAACCGGCAATCGCCATGCAAGCAATCAAACTTTCCGGCCAGAAGAAGAGTTACAAAAGTTGAAAATAATAAGAGAACGTCTCAACAAAATCAACAAGCCAGCAGAGAAGACAATTCAGGCAATTAATCCTATTGGCCTCAGTTTTTTATCTTTCATTAGGCATTGACTTCCACTCTCCTCTGTTTTTTTTGTTCTGTTTTCTCTAAATACGTTAGTCTTTTTTTTTTGGTGCAGAGTCCGGATGGTGATATTATAGATTGTGTTTTATTGCATCATCAACCAGCCTTTGATCATCCTCAATTAAAAGGACAAAAACCATTGGTAATTGTTAGATTTTACTACCATGCGTTTATTTTTGTTTTGTTTTTTTTTTTTTAATGAAGAACATTAAAACAAAAGAATCTATGGAATTTAACAACTTTAATTGTTCTTCTGAGTTTTCAGGATCCACCAGAGAGACCAAGTGGTTATAACCCAAATGGGATGGCGGCAGAAGATTTTCAGCGGTGGAGCATGTCAGGTGAATCATGTCCGGAAGGAACAATCCCCATCAGAAGAACAACTGAACAAGACATGTTGAGGGCTAGTTCTGTTAGAAGATTTGGAAGGAAACCAAGAAGACGTGTTAGAAGAGACTCAACTAGCAATGGCCATGAGGTATATGACTTCACAAATACTTTTAGAATACAGAAATTAGTCATACAATTCACTTTCCTTTTTCTTTCTTTGTTTCTTTGTTTCTTTTCCTTTTCTTTTTTTTTTTTGTCTAGCAAGGATTTGTGAAAATAGCTCCACTAATTACCAAAGGCTTAGGCCATTCAAAAGAAAGTAGTCATAGTGAAGAGCACAACGATGCTCGCCAATTGTCTCCTTTCCTATGCTTATAGTTAATTAAAGATGACAAACTTATGTAAAGTATAGAAGAAAAGAAGAAAAGAAAGAGGAAGAGGATACCAAAAAACTGCTTTTTCAAAATTTTTTACGTATTTTCTATGGTTGAAACGAGATAAGTCATTTATTACCTTCTTCTTCTTTTTTCCCTCTATGTTAAGGGTTTTTTTTTTTTTTTTTCAGTCTGTATTCCTCTGACTAGAGGCGGTCCAACAATCTCTTGATCAAGCGATCAAAAGTGGAGTTATGATTTGTTGTACGATCTAGGTTTGACTTCAAATAATCACAGTTTGACCGCCAATATTAAAAAAAAAAATGACTGAAATGAGTTGCAAAAAATTCTTTGTTGAACAAAAGTTAGCAGTCATGAAATTAATGCTAGTAATTCTATTTGGAAATTCAATTGAAAGCTGGAAAAAGAAAAAGAAAGAAAAAGGTGTAATTAGCATGGCTCAAACCATGACGAAAATAGCACAGCGTGATAAATTTTGTATTGGTTCTCTTTAGCAGAAAATGGAATATTTGGTCGATAACTTGTTATTTATTAGGATGCAGTGAAATTACTACTTGTAGTAACTATAGACTTTCATGGTTCCCCTGGCTAACTGTACCAGACTTCATTTTGACACTTATTGCAATGTTCAACGATCTTTTTTTCATTGTTAAAGCCATCTGCGATTCTTTCTTTCACCCTGTCTGTCACAGCTTGCATTTAGAAATTTCTGCTTTTTTTTTTCTGAATTTAACTTCTAATTTTAAAAGACATACACCCATAAAATTAAATTTAATAAATTTAAAATTCACCTTTGTTCCACCAAAAAAAAATCTATAATAAATTTCATAAACAAAAAATTTACATAGATTAATTTCTAATATGTATTAGGGTTACAGCATGCAGTTGGATATGTGAGCGGAGATCAATACTACGGAGCAAGAGCAAGCATAAATGTGTGGGCACCTCGTGTCTCTAATCAATACGAATTCAGCTTATCTCAAATGTGGGTCATCTCCGGTTCATTTGGTGACGATCTCAACACCATTGAAGCCGGCTGGCAGGCATGTAACATTTCATATCCTAAAAATTAGTACTACTATTAAAGCTAGACTAGATCTAGATGTAAGCACAAAGCATTAATTATAGCTGCAAAGCATATGTACATTTTGAATTCTTTTTCACATTAAAAGCAATTATCACAACTCAATTACCTCTTACTTTCTTTGTAGTTTAATTTTGTATTGTAGCCATAGATGCTAAATGACTAATCTCATTCTTTTTTTTTTAATGCAGGTCAGCCCAGAGCTATATGGGGACAACTATCCTAGATTCTTTACTTATTGGACCGTAAGTACACTAAACTTATTGGGAAACAATATTATCCTCCTTTGCTTTATTAAGCTCTATCTTAAAGCATAAGATAAATCATTTTAAATTTCAAAGCAAATTGATGATTTAGCATGTGTTTTTTGCAGACCGACGCGTACCAAGCCACAGGGTGCTATAATTTGCTGTGCTCAGGATTTGTTCAAACTAATAGTAGAATTGCAATTGGAGCTGCAATCTCCCCAACATCATCATATAATGCCGGTCAATTTGATATCAGCCTCTTGGTTTGGAAGGTAATTACATACTAGCTTGTAATTATTGTAATTTTTGTTTTAAGAAATAACCCATTGAACTCTGATTTTTGCCTGCTAGACACACACGTGCATTGTGATTTTACCTGCTAGATTTGGTCGTGGATGCTGCCCTTAAACTCTGGACCGTCCGATCTGAATACTTTCCTTTAACTAAAAAAGTTCAATGAAAAAGACTTGAGCTCCGTCGGTAGAAAAGATAAAAGGAAAGAAAAAAACTTTAAATTCAAAAATTGATTTACAAAATAACAAATGTGTCACTAAATGTAATTAATTATGGAGAACGGTGGGTCATTCACAAATCATACAGTATAAGCAACAGACACCATAAAATTGCCTTTGGTGACAAACAATGTGATATGTAAAAAAACTTTATTGATGGCTAGCTCTATTCACGCACTACAATGGTGCACTTCCCCCGCGTGCACTGTTAACCACCGGAAATGCCTGTAATTCCCTACTGCTTTTTTGCTTTGCAAGATTCTATTCTTTTCCAAGTAAAAGAGCCTCTTGGTGCCCTGACCCCTCAACTTTTTTCATTTTTTTCCCGTATTCTTTTGTGATTAAGAGAGGAGAATCATTAATTTTACCATGAAACTTCCTTTTCATAACCTCTGCTTTTAACATTTGCGATTAGTGCAAGATCCTTAATGAGTGCTGAAAGGAGAAAAACTTGATTAACAGCTTTTAAATACTGTATTTGGTGTAGGATCCAAAGCATGGGAATTGGTGGCTAGAATTCGGATCAGGGATTCTGGTAGGATACTGGCCATCATTTTTGTTTACTCACCTAAGGGACCATGCAAGCATGGTACAATTTGGTGGAGAAATTGTGAATTCAAGGCCAGGAGGTTTTCACACCTCAACAGAAATGGGCAGTGGTCATTTTGCTGGGGAAGGCTTTGGAAAGGCCTCCTATTTTCGAAATTTGCAAATTGTTGATTGGGATAACAACTTAATCCCATTACCAAATCTTCGGGTCCTCGCAGATCATCCAAACTGCTATGACATCCAAGGAGGAATTAATAGAGTTTGGGGGAATTATTTTTACTATGGAGGACCTGGAAGAAATGTGAGGTGTCCCTAAAGGGTAGGGTATTAATTTTTTCTTCCGTTCTTTCCTTTTAATATATAGCTTTTTCTTTTTTCTTTTTTTTTTTTTTAATTTTCCTTTAATACTTGTTGGGTGATAGTGGGTTTCTCCTGGAGATCATTGATCAGTGAGTTCCGGCCTTCGGGGAATTCTTATAGTAATTATTTTCCTTGTTAATCCAATTTTTTTTCTATTGTTCTTTCTTTTCAACTAACAGGTGTCTATTAATTATACCACCTTTAGGGACATTATGTAAATGTGGAAAAAATGATGGAATATATAATATATAGTGAATACAGTATGGGTTGTGAATGTGATTCCTCTTATTCTTTTTGTGTTGTCCCTGTTGGGCAGAGTTTCAAGAATGTAAAGGTTTAAAAACAATGGCACTTCATTTTCAACATTGGCAACTATATGGTTAAATAGAGCAATTAATCCCAATAGGGACCACTCCAATGGCTGGAGATCGAAACACTGTCTTAATTAGATGAATTAACCATCCACAAGCATTTTCCTTCACCAATACTTCAGGCTCATTCATATTGATTTATAGATTTTTCCCAATGTCATTTTCTTATGTTAGGACATGATGTAAAGTTTTGGGTTTGGTTCTGGCGGCCAATATTTCTCCAGTATATGAATCTTAGATTATTTTCTTACAATATTTTAAAAATCTAATTAAATATAAAAAATATAAATCGGCCGCTACTCAATCATTAATTTCTTTAAAGTGCCTACCGGCTAGCACAGAGCTTTTTGAACCGAAAGCTTCTCAACCTTCGAAGGATTCAATCATACAGAAACAGAACCGATATATATATATATATATATATATATATATATGCACACACATAATGTATGCATGTTGCGTTATTCGCCAGTTGGTAGGATCAAATCCATCATTGAGAGCCGAAACGAACCCAATTTAATTAATGTAAATATATATATATATATATATATGTGTATATGAAAAATCCATTCATGCTTTAAGCTATTATAGGGACAAAGATCAGACCTATGTTATCTTCTGTAAATTTTCGTTCTATATAAACCATTTTCTTTTATTAAAAACAACAAATAATTAAATCATTATTGTTACTTGCACCACAAACTCTTTGTCATTTAATATTTGCTTAATAATTAAATTAAATTATAAATTTTATAATTCCTTAACTTCTCTCAAAACAATTAAAATAATCAAATTCAATTTTAAAATTTTAATTCATCAAATATATATTTTAGCTTTACATGTCATAACATATAAATCCATAAATATATAGTTAGACTTAATAAATGGAATCGTCACCAATTTTTTTTACCTAGATATAATTAGTTACCTAATAAATCTATCATTTTAAAGAGCTTATAAACTTGACTAAGGATCCCTAAAAGAATAGGTTCGGGTCTACAAATTAAAACAGAGTTCAGGAGTTCGATTACATATAAGAAATATTATAGCAGCTCTACATGTTCATTCAAAAAATAGTACCAATTTATTTTAAATTTATCCTAACGTGTTAGTGCTAATGGTTTTAAGTTTTAATGTTTAAATATTGAAAATAATTTTTAAAATTCTTCATTAATCTGATAGAATTCTTAAAAATATTTTCTCATCTCAAGAGTATTTAAGAATCTTATTTGTTTTCTTGAAATGGTTTTGTAGTCGGAAAACAATTTTAGTATTTTTTATTTTGGTTTTTTTTTTTGTTTTTATTGAAAATATATCTAATTTTTCTATAATTTGGGTCAAATTAAAAATATCTTCTTTTCCAAATTTCTAAATTCTCTACCATTTAGGCCTATTTAGAAAAATTTTTTTATTTCTTTTCTTTTTTTTTTTGGGAAAGAAAGTAATAATAATTATTTTTCTTGAAATTTCATTTAAATTCTTTCACCATTTGGGACAAATTTAAAGAAATTTCTCACCAAGAGATTTCTTAGAAATTTACCATTTGAAATTTTTAAGTTTTTCATCCTTAGATAATTGTCAAATATTTTCAATTAAACTTTTTATTTGGAAAAGACTACAATTACTTTTGTTGAAATTTTATTTAAATTATTTCACTAACTAGGACAAATTTAGAGAAATTTCTCACCTAGGAATTTTATAGAAATTTACCATTTGAATTTTCTAAAAATTTCATCATTGGATAATTATTTTTTATTCTCAAAAAAATATTTTACTCTTTTATTATTTTTCCTAAACTTAATCATGCAAAAATAGCCCTAAATATAATCAAACGCATAGATAAATAACTAAAAAAATAAAAGAAAAATACCACAAAAAATGACTCTGCTGGAATGACTCGAGGCGACTCACCTCCGACATAAAAAGCGGCTCGGTGACTTGGTTAGGAGACTCGGCTTGGCTCGACTCGACTCGACTTGGTTGAATGGTTTGGTTGGGAGACGAAGCAGTTGCGCTTGGGTTGGGTTGGTCTGAGGAGAAATGCGCGGATCTTAGGGCTTTTTAACCCTCAAAACAATACCTTTTAATTAGCTATAAAAGCTAAAATTCATTTTTTTCTCAGATTTCTCTTCCCCTTCTCTCTTCTTTCTTTTTCTCTCCCTCTTTCTCTAAAAACCCAAGATTTCGATTGAATGCTTCACTGAAAACTGGGAAAAGCCATTGGAAACTGAAAAATGTAATCGAAAAATGCAAGTTTCGTCGAAAATTTAGTCGAAGTTTGAAAAATTTTTATCAATTTTATAGAAAAAAATCTCCAAAATTTCCTTTCTGATTTTCTTTTGCTAATATCCACTTTTTACTAGATTTTCTCGATCTCTCTGTTTCTGTGTTTCTAATCTTTGTTATCTCTTTCTGATTCATCTGTGTTTTCTATATGATTCAAGTCTTATATTTATAAAGAAAAAAAATAAAAAAGTTTCCTTTCGATTATGAGTCCACAGTTGACAAGAATTCTATATTATTACAAAACCTAAGATTTATCTATTGCAAATTAAATCCATCTAGAACTCTACCAACACTCATCCACAATAAAAATTATTTTTATTATCTTTTTACTTTTTCTTTTGTTTATTAAATCTGTTATCTTCTAACAAAAAAACCAAAGATAAATCAATCGAAAAAACAAAGAATTGAATAATCAACAAAAAAAAAAGATCCTAAATAAATAATAAAATAAATAAATAACTAAAATATAAAATAAAAAGTAATTAGGCTTGATAACCTAGACCGTATTGAACCAGGTCCAATTGGTTCAGGCTCGAACCAAATAAAGTGTTTATAGCTACCCCTCTATGCGCATTTTCTATGCAACAACAATTATGCAAGGACATAGACACCTCTCTTATCCAAACAGTCATCCCAACACCTTTTTTTTTATAATCAAATACTCAAACTTGCTGAATGACACAAAACTCCCATAAGCAGAGGCTTACAACTTTTGTAAAAATAAATATGGCTCTTCTAAACAGAGACTCAACTTCTTTCAAAAAATAAATAAAGCTCCTCTAAACAAAGGCTCAATGACTTTTGAAAATAAATAAATAAAATTCCTCTAAATAGAGGCTCAACGACTTTTGAAAAATAACTAAAGTTATTCTAAATAGAGGCTCACCGACTTTTGGAAAATAAATAAAGCTTTTCTAAATAGAGGCTCAACAACTTTGAAAAATAAATAATGCTCCTCTAAACAGAAGCTCAATGACTTTGAAAATAAATTAAGCCCTTCTAAACAGAGGCTCAAAGACTTTAAAAAATATAAAGCTCCTCTAAACAGAGGCTCAACTACTTTCAAAAAATAAATAAAGCTCCTTTAAACAAAGGCTTAATGACTTTTGAAAATAAATAAATAAAGCTCTTCTAAATAGAGGCTCAACGACTTTTGAAAAATAAATAAAGCTCTTCTAAACAGAGGCTCAACGACTTTTAAAAAATAAATAAAGCTTATCTAAACAGAGACTCAACAACTTTGAAAAATAAGTAATGCTCCTCTAAACAGAAGCTCAATGACTTTGAAAATAAATTAAGCTCCTCTAAATAGAAGCTTAATAACTTTGAAAATAAATAATGCTCATTAACAATCTTGTCCAAAGGAGTCATAGATTGTGTTTGAAGAAATTTTACGAAACTCAAAGATTCATAATTTGAGTTCGAAATTCAAAGGTTTGTAATTCAAAGATTCACTAAAATTTTAGATTCAAAAAAACCTTTTAGCTTTGCAAAAATTCACCAAAATTTGATTCTTAAAATTTCAATGTCACAAGAATTTGATTCACGAAATTTCAGATATGCAAGACTTTTCGACTTTACAAGAATTCAAATTCGTAAGATTTTAAAATTTGCATTTATGAGATTCGCATCCAAAATTTTAATTTAGGGATTCGCATGCAAATTGCAAGGCTCACATCCAACATTTAAATATTCAAATTCTGGAGATTCACATTCGAATTTTGGTGATTCACACCCAAAAGTTAAAATTTTTTTTTTTGAAAAACTTAAAGGATTCGCTTCTCAGATTTCAAAGATTTTGATTCAAAAATTTCTCATTTAAAAACTTCGGATTTCATCCAAAACTTCAAAACTCCACATTCACATTCAACAAATCTTAGACTTTCACATCTAAATTCAAAGGTTTTCATTCAAAAATTTAGAGATTCGCATCCAAAAATTCAAATATTCTCATTCTAGTTTGAAGATTCACATCCAATAAATTTAGGGTTTCACATCTAAAAGATTTTCATTTGAAACTCAAAGATTTCATTGGAACTCAAAAATTCTCATTTGAAACTCAAAGATTTCATTGAAAAACACAAAGATTCTCATTTGAAACTCATAATTTTATCTTAAAAGATTTCAACAAAAAATTCAAAATTTTTTTTTCTAGATGACTTTCAAACTTTTATCAGAGTCAAAATTTTGTATGTAATGAATGTTATGATCAATGATGCAAATACAACAATATGGATTCTCATAATAATGTAGATGCCATACTCTGAATTATGATTCAAATGTTTGCTAGCTAATGCATGTCCAAACAAAGTTTTAAATATTCATTGAATTATGTGCATGTATTGTTCAAACGATGATGCAAACATAATGCATGTAATGCAGATAAATGTCATAAAATTCTAATTAATTGTGGCAATATGGTTCTCAAGACTCTTTCATTCCATATTTTCCCTTTTTAACTACTCAGCACTAGCTATCCCAGAATAAACTTCCATTTTATATTTTCCCTTTTCAATTACTCAGCACTAGTTATCCCAGAATAAATTATGTCCACTAATCTACATCATTCACACCATTTGATCGCAATTCACAGGCTTCTTAGCACTAGCAATTTCATCATTTGCATCATTGAATTGTAACTCATAGGCTTATCAGCATTAGCAATTTCATCATTTGTATCATTTGATCGCAACTCACAAGCTTCTCATCATTAGTAATTTTAGCATAAATTTCGTCAACTGATTCATATTATTTTTATCATTTGATCACAACTTACAAGTTATGTTGACCAATCCATCACCATATTCATTTGG